TATGGATGACCACCACTCTATTCAACAGATGAGGAGACGGGGACATAAACTATCAAATCATTCATGCAGTGACCTAGTAACAGATCTGGAATTCTAGCCCATCCCACTCGCCATGTGCATCATCACAATTCTATGCCGTCTTCCAGGAGTCTGTACCGGCAGCTTGAGCTACAGATGGGACCAGGCCCTTGAGAGGGAGAGTACAAAGACACATGGTGAGCTGATGGTGCTTGAGAATTCCTCCAGGCCCCTCTAGCCTCTTATCCTAATCACTTCCCCTTCCTACGTGTCCGACCTCCCTCCAGCTCCTGACTCCTCCACCAGGTAGGTGTTCAAAGGATTTCTGAACTTAGTTGGATCTCAGCAATGTTCCTCATTGTAGGGAAAGTCCTGTGCTACTGGGGGTTTCATTCCCAACTGTAAACATAGAGGGGCCAGTTAGTCATCATCAGGGACTCTCCTAGCAGTAAGAGTCTAGAACTGGGCCAGCAAGATGGGTCAGAGAATAAAAGTGCTCGCCCTGAAGCCTAGTGATGTGACTTCAATTCCCAGAACCCACATAACGGTGGAAGGAGAGAACCAACTCCACCAAGTTGTCTTCTATCTTCCACACATGCACCATGATACACAGGTGCCCGTACCCCCGTCACACACACAGATTCTAAAACCTTTATTAGAAAACATTTTAGAAAGTAAGATCTTTGGTCAGGACAGGGAGTGGCTCATGCATTGCTTTACTAAAGTAGCCCAGTTGGGTATTCAGGGCCACTAGCTGGGAATGGAAACCTAGAGCACTTTCACCTAATGCTCACTGGGAAGCATGTGGGACCAGGGATTTGAAGAGTCACAAGCTGCTGCTGACCTTGGGCTGCCTGATCTTTCAGAGGGCTCTCAGGAACCCAGGCTGGTTCTTCCTCTTAAACTACTTCACTCATACTTAGAGCCAGGTGCTACCTGGGCACTGGACAGTGGAGGGATGCAGCTCAGCATCACAGAGCTCCCAAGCTGTCCAGGGTATCTCCAACCTTTCTACTTCTTTGAGACTCAGGCAGGCCACACCCCTCAGCTCTGATTTCCGATGTCCACTGGTGTGGGGAAGTCTGCATGGCCATGGACTTCCAGGCACCATGACCCACCCCCCACTTGGATTCTGAAGGGTCAAGAGCAGAGGCCTCTGCCAACCTGAGATGGGCTGGGCATTGGCAGGCACATGTGGGTGTTGCCTAGCAACATGGACTTGTGACCTAACCCATATCTGACCCAGCTGGATGCTCCAACCTGACCACGCAGCACTGTGCTGGCACTAGGCTGAGGTGGTTATTCTGAGCTGGCCTCAGAAGCTCCCAGAAACAATGTCATGTTCTCCTGAATGCTCCTAGTGACCTGCAGAGAGGCAGGGCCACCCCAGGGCAGTCAACACATGGATCTGAATTTCAGCCCTGCTTTGCAGCAGGTACAGGTAGGGCTGTGGGCCTTGGTGCCTTCATGTTTCACATGGGCCAACACCACAGCAACTTAAACTAGTTGAGGACACTGCTGGAGTTCCAGAGGTGCCCACCTTCTCTGGGGCTAGCATTCACTGTCCCTCTTCCCAGAGACACCAACCCTCACACTGGCAGGCTGGACAATGCCACTGGGGAAAAATGATATGTTGGGATGTGGCCCTGTAGTCCAAAGGTGGGCATGTCCAGAGCAGCAGCCCCAGAGGACAGCCAGCTGGGAAGAAGCAGGAGGCTGTGTCCTACAAGATCCACAAGGTCAGCTCCTGCCAACGCTTCCTGTAGAGACAACCCTCAGCAACAGCTTTCAGGATGTTGCATATTCCCCACTGCTGAGCCAGCAGTAGCAGCTGGCTTGAGTCTGTAGCATGGCAGAAATGAGCTCTGGATTCAGACAGCTTGGGGTTCAAGTCCAAGCCTTGCCCCTTACTGGATGTGAGCCTAAGGTCAACTTGTTTGATCTTTGCCCTTCTCAGGAGCATGACTATGTGGGAGACTATTGGTCAGAGAGACCCCAGGAGTCCCCAAAACAACACAGGCTGTTGTCATTGCTCATGGCTGCCCACCAGAACGAGATGGCAAGACCCTATTGCTGAAGACACAAGACACTTCAGTTGCAGGACACAGAGCAAGTTGGAAATGATCTGAAAACTTCCTGTTAGCGAGCTTTCATAATGCTAGAAGGGGCTAAGCAGACAGCCTGGGGAGAAAAACTACAAGACAAGGTGTGTCCATTAGTGCAATAGTGGTACAAAGGTTATGGGAGAAACCAACTGATTTTGGCTTGGATGTGAGGCCGGATCCATAGGACAGAATTCATACCTGTACTGTAAACCTGGTCAAAAGCCCATTTCTAGGGCTCACAGGCCCTACAGAAGGAACCAACTGCTGTCGTCTGGCTAAATGGACATGCTGTCAAACATATAAATATTTATGTTTATACTCAAATGAATGCTGCCCTCACCCTCAGCACAGAAGCTTCTCTCTGTCATGGTCAGCAGTTAATGCAGAGACTCACAACTGGTCAAAGTGCTGAGAATATGTGGCCTCAGCAGAGTACTTTAAATGGGACTTCTTTATCAAGCCCCAGCCCCTAAGGCTCAGGAAACGTTGTAGAAGGGCTGGAGAGATGGCTGAGTGGTTAAGAGTACTGGCTGCTCTTGCAGAGGACCCGAGTTCAATTCTCAGCACCTATATGGCGGTTAACAACCATCCCTAACTCCCAATTCCAGGGGAATCTGATGCCTTCTTCTGACCTCTGCATACACTGCATGACACAGGTGCTCTTACATACATGCATACAATATACTTGCAGTTAGAATGTTTTTTAAAATTTTATTATTTTTATGTGTATGTGTGTATTGCCTGCATGTAGGTAAGTGCACTCACATCCTACAATGCCCTCAGAGGTCAGAAGAGGCTGTTGCATCCCCTGGGACTGCAGTTACAGACAGTTGTTAGCTACCATGTGGGTGCTGGGATTCGAACCCAGGTCTTCTGCAAGAACAACCGGTGTTCTTAACTGCTGAGCCATCTCTCCAGCCCCTCACTTAAAATATTTTTATAAAAAAAGAATGTACAGGCTGGAAGATGGGAGTCCTGTGAAATGCTATCTTCAGGACATGCCATGGCTACTGCACTCCTGAGCTCACTGCAGTTGTAGTTCCTTGCACCAAGTCAACAAGATCAGTCAACATCAAACAGGCAACACTAATTAGACTCAGTGAGAAGGGGATGTGTTGGGAGTTCCTGGGGAGAGGGCAGAGTTGGGGTGATTTTATGATCAAGATGCATTACTTACATGTATGAAACTGCCAAAGAATAAATAAAAGATATTCTGCTTTTTAAAAAGCAAGCCCGCCGGGCATGGTGGCACATGCCTTTAATCCCAGCACTCAGGAGGCAGAGGCAGGCAGATCTCTGAGTTCAAGGCCAGTGTGGTCTACATAGTGAGTTCCAGGACAGCTGGGGCTACAGGGAGACCCTGTCTCAAAAAAAAAAAAAAAAAAAGTAGGTCTGCTGGGCATGGTGGCTTAGCCCATACACCTCTTCCTCCTAGCACAGGCTAGGACTGGTGACCCTGAGGCTGGGTATCAGGTCCCTACAGGGCTAGTAGCACTCCCCAATAAAGAAACAGGCCACCCACCCTGCTCTACAGCAGGGGGAAGTGGAGGACGCCCAGACTCAAGCCAGTATCCCAGGCACAGAAGCTGCCAATTTCCATCCAGGCTGGCTGGAAAGCCCTCCAGGTTTCTGGGATGGCTTCTCCTCCTAGAGAGAAGACTCAACATCAACCCTCGAAGCTGAAGGTCACATCAAATCTGAAAGGCGACTTTGTTCTTCCCACTTCATCTGTTATGCATAAAAGAGCAGACGGCGTGAGCTCAGGATTCATAATTTGAGACATCCGGAGACTAAAGACATTGGCCAAATTTAAACAGAAAGATGAGCTTGTTGGGTGTCTTTTCAGATTATGAGGGAAAGAAGAGAAGAATTTCATAGTCTGCTCTGATCCACTTGGGCCTCACAGGGAGTCTGCGGGTCGGCTGGCATCAGAAGGCTCTGCCTCTGGGCTCCGGATGTTTGAAACAGGACTACCGAAAGGGATAAAGGCATAAATGCCCAAGAGACCAAAAGACCCCTGACAAGCTGCTATGGGGAGCGGTGGCTAGGGAGTTCCCAGACACAGGCCCATGGGACCTGAGGGATATGGTTTTGCTGAGACAGTCATTGTGAGGCTGGATAGGACGCCAGGAGCAGCTGACCACAGCCATCTCCTGGGAGGCCAGGACACAGCAGGGTGATAATCAGGGGCAGGAGCTAGGGCTGCAGCCTCGCTAGGCACTCAGGACAGGGCTGCCTTCTCTAAGCCTCGTGCCTTCAATGGTAGTGAGCTAACAACATCCGGGCTGGAGGTGACCACCCTAAGCTGCGTCAGCTAAGCATAGGCTTGCCACAGAAAATGCCTTCACTGCTGCTCACTGTGAGATTTCACTTGGACTTGATACATTTGATCCAAATTACCTTTTGCTCTGAACTAACCTTTGATCCAGAGGATATGTAAGATCCATAATGCGACAGTGGTCACCAGAGTCCTGTAAAACCCAGAGGGGGGAACACTGCTATGCCCTGTTTGCACATGGGAAAACCAAGACTCAAGGGCCATAGCTGAGTTAGAGCTGGACCTGGCATCTCCAGGTCACTGAACCCTTCTGTCTCCCATCACACAAAGCCTGGATTCCTGCAGGCCCTGCCCTGCCTCCAGCACTGAACCCACATTTAGACCATGAGCAGCAGAGTCAGCCTGCTTGCTATCTGCAGAAGAGATGAACATCCTGCGTCACTGGAGACGAGGAAATGACTGCTCCCTGTGCACCCCCAGGCCATCAGCCCCCACTCTAGTGCCCCACTCTCTTGTCACACTGCTGCTCCATCACCAAAGGCGGGAGTCAATGTTGCTGTCTCTTGTCACCAGTGTCACTACCCAAGTGATGCTCAGACTTCAAAAAGGGAGCATTTATTGTGGCAGACACACAGGAAGTACATTGGCAGCTTGTCAAGGAGGCCCACAGCACAGTCCACACATCATAGCAGTCCCCAGCCCCTCACACCCAGGATCCTGGCTGCGTCTGATAAAGGTCTGAGGTGGGAGCAGGGGCCAGGAGCTACCCATACTCCAGTGAGGATCCTTCAAGTGCCCTCCCCCAGGCAAGGGTCTGACTCAGTCGCTCAGTTACAGACCAGAACTTAAGACAAGCTGGTTTGTTTCCTGGGGCTGCTGAGACCTGCTCTGACATGCCTGGCCACTGGAGGCTCCCCTTGATGGAAAGACGCTCATGGCTTGGCTGGGTTTCAGGATGGCAGAGCCCATGGGGCCAGTTTAGGGGGAAGAAAGTCTAAAGACAGCTTGCTGCCCGGGTATTCTGACCACCAGGGACCACTAGGGTCGCAGAGTCAAGAAAGAGCAGTGAGATGCTTCCAGAGCATGATTCTGTTTCACCCGTGGAAATCAACAGACTTCAAACACTTGCATCTTCCCAGAAGTCAGCAGCGTAGCAGCTAGCAGGGCAGAGGCCTGTGCCAGCGCCATGTAGAAAGGCACCAGATGGTTTGTTATGAAACACATTTTGGTCAGAAAATAGCTGGGGGTTTTTGGTTCCTGGGAGGACAATAAAGCTAGAGAGAGGAGGCGTGGGCTCTGAGAGGTGGCAGCACAGAAAGCAGCTTTGGCAGCAGGTCTGGGTTCTATTCTCAAACCCCACCCCCACCCCCATGAGGCCTAAAGTTTCCTCATCTGTAAAATGGATGCAAAATATTCTGACACAAACTTAGTGCTAGGCTTTGGGATCATCCCAGGAAGTACAGGGAGGCGGACAGCAAGGCACACAGAAGGACAAAAAACCAAAAGGGCAGGCACAGCTTCGTCCATAAAGCAGAGGTGGGGGTAGGGCAGAGAGTAGGTGGCTACAGAGGTGATCCCCATGGTTACTCTGGGAGTCATGGGCAGGTGGTACATTAAGTCTAAGCACTGGTGGGGATCATCGTTGGGGGCCCTGGACCCTCTTGAGGCAGAAGGGCAGGAAGCAAGATCTACCCGCCACCAGCACCACCAAAGGCCCCTACCACATTTGCTGGGTGAACGATAAAGTGCCGAGCTACACACTGTCTTTGGTCAGGGGCTATCTTTCCAAGAACCTGGTTGCAAGGCCCTGAGGAAGGTGATCTGGAGGACACTGGCTTCCCTGGAGGCCATGTCCCCTCCTGTGCACAAAGAAAAATAGGCCCTCACTGCAGCTCAGTGAGGAGTGGGGATGTCCCAGGGAAACCCAATCCCGAGAGAGGAGGGACACGGAATGCTTTGGTCACTGTCCGGTTCCCACAGCAGGAGGGGCACTGGCTCCAGGAAAAAGCAGGAGGTAGGGCCCTGCCCTGCACACTGAGCTCCTGATGCAAACCTGGCTTCTGAGCATAAGCCAGGACTCACTGACTGATATTCCAGGCGTCTTTCAGCCCTCTCGCCCCTGCTTGACCATGCTGCTCTCATCTGCAGGCTCCACTGTTGCCGGTCAGAGGCGGCTGACAGCTCCTGGAGCTGGCTGCTCTGCTGCAAGTGGCTTTGGTCTGTCATGTGTAAAGGCCAGTTGTGTCCTGCTGGCCCCAGGCCCTCAGAAGCTGAAGAGGTCATCTTGCTCGATGCCACCACTGTCAGGCTTGTTCCAGTCAGTGGGCGACAGGCACTGTGCATAGTGGATATCCTGCGCCGACAGCCCAGTGTCCAGGACCTGAGGGTTTGTCCGTGACTGCGCCAGTCTGGAAGGCAGAATGATGTGAGCTGAGCAACAGGTAAGGGGCCTGGCAGGGGCCAAGGAGCCAGGACAGCCTGGCCAGCATGGGGCCAGAAGGGAGGGGGCAGGAGCCAGGGCATAGACAAAAGGTCAGATGCCAGAGGAGCTGGAGCCTCTGACCAATAGGCTGCACCTAGAGAGGCGGAACCCTGGGGCAGGCCGTGGGCCACCCACTCTGACAAGAGGCCAGGGCACCTATCAAGCCAGCTGCAGGCAAAAAGTGTTCAGTCATGAGAAGACTACTTGGCATAACCATGGTCAATAGTGTGCTTCCCAACAAAGAGTCACACAAAGGAGACGAGCTAAGTGTCCACAAGGACCCAGAGAGGTCAGTACGTGACAGTCTTGTCCTCAGGAAGAGTTCCTAAGGTGGGTAAACACCTGGAGAGGCCTCAGACCATGTCATCTCCAGGGGCCGAGGCCGTGAGCTGATCACACAAGTGATGGTGAGGATCAGCAGGCAGCTCGCCAGTCTGGGCCTAGGGATTATAATGCTGACCGATTTGTATTTTGAAACTCTTTAATAAAGACTTATGACACTTGAACATTATGGAAAAGCTGATAAAGGCTTCTGTTCTAATGTGGGTTGGAGTCACACAGTGAAGTAAAGTAGGGAGCCCCTGCTCCCTTGAGAGTGCCACAGCTGCTGGCTAGCCCCTGGCTATGGCAAGAGGTGGCAGGGAGTTGGAGACTGCAAGCAAAGTTCCAGAAGTGGAAGGCCTCAGGGGTTACTGCATGTTCCAAGGGGACAATGGAGACCCAAGGACCCAGGGTCAGTGCTGAGAACCCTGAGCGACCCAGGCCTGAACTGCAGCCTTTTCAATGGCATGTTCCTAAGCTGCAAGTAGACATGGCTACAAGGAAAGGTAGGAAACGCCACCAGCCTCAGCCTTTACCAAAATATCCCCTCCACACCCAACATCCTCTTGCAGGGGGCACTCCCCGGCTTAGCCAGGCCCTGCTTCTCCCCACTCTGCTTGTGGCAAGTCCTCTGCAGGGAAGAGGTCTTCAAAAAGCCTTCTTTGCTGGGCTGCTCAGGGTGTAGGGAGAGGAAACCAGCAGGTACTACAGTGTTCGGTTCTGTTCTGGCTACAGCACAGCAGCCCTGGGCTTTTGACTGAACAGCAAGAGCCTTCTAATACATCGACCCTGCAAGTGCTTTATCCCTAGGTAGTTCCTGTCCCTGGAGCAATTGTGGAAAGGTTGGAGTAGCTCATGTTCTTCGTCAGGACAAAGGCCCAGGGATGAAAGGGCAGACCAGACCAACCCTGGGCCCATGTCCCCAGCATGAGGCACCCAGCTGTTACCTTGAAAATGCTTCATCCAGGCCATCGTCCAGCTCCTTGAGAAAGAAAGCAAGAGGTAAGAACTCTGAATGGGGGCCGTGGTCACCGAGGGAGCTTGCACCAGCCCTAGAAGAGTTACAGAGACCTGGGGGTGGTGTGTGCGTGTGTGTGTGTATGTGACAGAGACAGAGAGAAACGGAGTACTGGGGAGTATTGGGGATGGGGGTATGCCTATAGGAACTAGAATAGGCAGGTCTTGTGCCCATGGACCCAAAGCTGGGGCCTAGGTAAAGAAAAGGCATGTCCCAGGCCTGTAGAAACTGGGGTGGGTCCTCTCAACAAGCCGAGGCAAGTCACGGTTCCTCTCTGAAACTCAGCTTTTCCTTCTGTGAAACGAGGGGCCCGATGATTTCCAGGGCTTCCCCCAAAGAGAAGGCTGGAGAAGGATGGCTTGAATCTCCACTTCCAGCCAGCTGCAATCCTATGCTACTACAGGATGCCTGATGTCAGGATCTCACAGCCTTGGTGCTAGATGACACTCCTCCAAGGCCCCCAGGACACATGGGCAAATGGTGAGCAGGGGCTCAAACAGCAGAGGACAGATATAAGGGACACCCTGGTTGCCCCCAGCAGCCAGAGGGAGGTGACAGCTCTTGAGTCTCACCAAGTGAAAGAGTTAATGAGCTGGGCCTGGTGACATGGGCCTGGAGTCCCAGCTACTCAGGAGGCTGAGGTAGGATTGCAAGCTCTGCCTGAGTTAGAGAGTGAATTCAAAAGGACAATCTGAGCAACTAGTAAGACACTATCTTGGAATTAAAAAGTACGAAAAAGGGGCCAGGCGTGGTGGGCGCACACCTTTAATCCCAGCACTTGGGAGGCAGAGGCAGGTGGATCTCTGTGAGTTCAAGGCCAGCCTGGTCTACATAATGAGTTACAGGACAGCTGGGGCTACAGGGAGACCCTGTCTCACAAAGACAAAAAACCAAAACAAAGCAAAGTACTAATAAGGGCTGAGGATATAGCTCAGTAGTAGAATGCTTGCTTAATATGTGAAGCCCTAGTTTCAATCCTCAACATCATGAGCGAGCAAGAGAGAGAGAGAGAGAGAGAGAGAGAGAGAGAGAGAGAGAGAGAGTGGAGAGGCCTAGATGAAGCTCAGAGTAGCCAGTGAATGGAGGGAGAGGAGAGAGAGAGAGAGAGAGAGAGAGAGAGAGAGAGAAAAGGAAGAGAGAGAGAGAAAGGAAGAGAGAGGGAAAGAGAGTTTTGATAAGCATAGTGAGTGTGACTCTGCAGATCTTGGACCAGAAGAGGAATATGCAGCCCACCATGGACAGAGGTGAATTCACAAATTCTGTAATAGGTCCCTCAGTATTAATTCCTAGTTTTTGTCACTGTGACACAGTTATGAGGGTGTTGACCTTTGGACTATTTGAAGGTGCACTGGAATTCTCTGTGCTATTTCTATAAAACAGTCTGAAATTACCTCTGAATGAAAGGCAGAAATTAAAGGCCATCGTGGCTCCTCTGCGAGATGCCATGGGAGGTTGGTGTCCTCACTGGGGGGGTGGCAAGGCTGACATAGAGGTCAGGCACTAGCCCCAAGTCCTGAGAATCAGTGGCCCAGCTGTGCATTCAGACAGCTGAGTGGGGAGGAGTGCCAGGCACAAACCTGCTGTGCCCAGAACAAGGAAGCCTTTGCTGGTCTGGGGTAGGCAGAGTCACGGTCGCTCAGACCTAAAGGCTGGGCATTGTGAAGGGACTGCTGTACTGGGGGCCAGGCCTGCTGGGGACACAACCTCAGGTTAAGAGAAGACATTGTTTAGCTCCCATCCTGAGCCTGGGTACTGCTGAGCTGGGTTTGGTTCTCTTAAAGGCCCATAAGTCATGGAATCAAGGCCTGGACTCCAGAGTCACTTCAGGCTCATCCTGAGACCTGGTCGAGGCTCACTGGATCCCAAAAGCACCCCCAGTCCACACAGTCACTCACCCAGACAACACTGTTGTTGCTTAAGGCTTGAGGCCGCAGTGTCTCATCCATGTTGGTATTAGCACTGACCGTGGACAGCGGGGCCTTGGCCATCTCCTCCAAGTCTAGCAGGTTCCCAGTGGCGACCACTATGAGGAGCCAGTGGGGGGCAATTAAGAGACAAGTTGTGTCTCTTCCAACCTCACCATTCGGGTGCCTCTGGTGACATGGGCCCTGACTTGATCCTGGACCCTGATCAACCAGAGCCTCACTCAGGCCTCCTGCCCAGCTACAGGACAGCTGTCCACAGGAGAGAGTCTGTGCCCTGAGGGCAGACACTGGAATTTGCACAGTCACAATAGTTAAGTGTTCAAAAGCACACAAAGTAGGCTGGGAAGTGGAAAAGACTTCGAGATGGACAGATGCTCATGGGCATTTAGGCATACATGCAGGGACATGTCTGGATGAGCGTCCATCGAAACCAACAACTTGCTCACTTACCTACAAGGCACATGTAACACTCATTTAACAGAAAAAAATGAAACACCAAGCGCTTGCCCAAGCCCAGGAGGGAGGCCTAATACGTGGGGAAAGCTTGGTGCCAACAGCTGGAGTGCCCCCTTGACTCGCTACCCCCTCTCACCCTGCCCAAAACTTACTGCTTTTCAGTGAAGGAGTGCTGTCACGGCGGGTCCCTGGGACATCTCCCTCTTGGTTAGCTTTCTCCCTCTTTTCTTTCTCTGTGGGATTAATGCACAACACGCTAGAGCCTCACACCCAACACTGTCCCCAGCAACTGGGCAAGGGGTAGGCTGTAGGCATTCAAGGGCAGCATGGGGTCTCCGTCCAGGAGGAAGGATACTTTGGAAATGTCACTTAATGCCAAATACTCTAAGGGAGGAATATGGCCTTTGTCCAGATGGGGAAATTGAGCCTTGGAGAGGTGAGGGGGGACATACTCAAAACCACAAGCACAGTAGGGGCTCCCATGAGGTTGGGATCAGCTCACTGTGACTTCCACCTGTATCTTCCACACCACCCACAATGTGGATGAGACTGACTCACCTTCCTTGGACACCTGCCAGAACTCAAAGGCAACTTTGAAGGCTTGGGCTACAGTGAGAGTAACAGCTTGTGCCTGAAACACAGGAAGTGGAGTCGGGAGGGGTACAGTGTCAGCCAGCAAAGAATAAGTATCAACTGGAGCCTTGGGGTGCTCCATCCCAGGCTCTAGAGGGCTTACAGGTAGAGATGGGGCCTAGCTCCTCCCTTACCCACAGCAGCCTGGGGCATAATGAACCACACCCCGGAGAGGCAATTGGGGCCCATCTGCAGCATCTTCCACTTAACCAGAGTTCCCACCTTGGTCCCAGCCCCTTCCCTACAGACCTGTTCACCTCTACTTTTTCCATCCCTTTAGGCACACATAAGGATTTCCTACACTCACTAAGCCCTTGAACTAGAGGATGGAAAAATCAGGAGGGGAAGGACCTGGCCATTGCTATGCTTGACTAAGCCACAGCCACTCTGGTCAGGGCTCTAGGGCACTGGGGGTGCCAGCAGCTGACAACTGGATCCTAGAAAGGTAGAAGGTGGCTTAGGAACTTCTGGCAGAATCAAGATGTTAGTGATTGTCAGGGACCAAAACCATGTAGCATCATAGCTAGCCTATGTGGGGGGTGCCTTGGCTCCCACCCACCCCTTCAAATTCCATTCAAACGACACTCACGTCTCACTAGCAGAGGGCTTCACTAGCCCTGCCCACTTCCCTCTGGAATCCTGCAGATGAAAGTGTCCCTAGGTCATGTGCCTGTACCATCTGGATGCGTCCCACAAGCAAGAGTGGGTCTGAAGAACCCTGCCCCGAAACGTGGCTGAACTCTTGTCTGTGGGATAAGCCGGCTGCAGCCTCCTGCCAGTGCAGTCCTCCCCCAGCACACACCTATCTTAGCACCTTCCTCCTTGTGACTGAGGTTCTGGGGTAACCAGCCCAGCTGGGGAGTGCAAGCCCCGGAGAAGCTGGTGAGAAGCTGGTGCGGCAGGGAAAGCAGCAAGCTTCCTCCAGAAAGCCCTGGGCCAGAGAAGAGTCCCCCACTCTATCGAGTGCAGGACGTGTTCAGGCCTAAGCAGCCTCCACACCCTTCCTCCCCGCCACCAGACAACTCAATTTAATTGAGAAATAAATTCATGGCCACCACCTTCAAAACTCTTTTAAAATCAAAATCTCCAAACAAGCTGACTGATCTGTGCCAAATGAACTTCGCCAAGTGTAAAATCTCATTTGAATGTCTCCGTCATTTACATTTTTGATAGAAGTATGGGTACTTTATGGCAAAACTTAAATATGGTAATTAAGTATGAAACTCTTCACAGCTGTTTACAATTTAAGCTGTCACGTCTGAATCAAGTTTAATAGACCCAGTTACCATTGAGAATTGCCCATGAACTAAAAATATGGGCTAATTACCAGCCCAAGTCAGATCACCATACTCTAGAGCAAGAGCTGGTCACCCAGTGTGGCAGGGCTATGGAAACGCCATTATTTCTGCCTGCAGGAACCTAGGGACTCAGGGTGATACTGTGTTTCCATAAATCTTCTGGCTCATTTGCATACATTCCTGCCCCTCTGCCCTGATGTCCTGTGCTATGAGTTACAGCAAATGTAAGCCGAGCTGGGATGTGAGGCAACGTGTACAGGTGCCTGCAGGCCTGGCAGGGCAGGCCTGGTAGTGGTCTGCTTCCGCAGGGTTCCCCAAGAGCATGAGTCACAGGAATGCTTAGTGGGAGAGTCACACTCCTGGGGCCTCTGGCCTGACTTACTATCCAGACCAGTCTCTACCAGGCCCAGTTTTCCATGTCCCTGTCTTTTTTCCAGTCACCAGGCTGTCAACCTGTCAAAGGGGGTCAGGTGCTAGGACTTACCTGGCTCAAAGGCTAATCTCTGCAAAAAGATTATTCCACTGAGGGACACGTAGGGGAACAGCCCCACGCCCCACTGCCAGAGAGAACTGGAGTATCCAGGCCTGTGCCTGCATGGGGACCCCAAACTTCTCCACCTCCGCTTCTGAGCTTAGAGACTCAGTGCTCACTGTGTTGAGGCCTCTCATCTGGGCAGACAGAAACACTGCCTTGCAGGGACCTTCTAGTCATGCCCAACAGGACCAGGGAAGAAAGCCTTAGACTGCACTGTGGGGGATCCAGGAAGGAACCCCTTCTCCAAGCTTCTTGCTTACTCATGTAGCTAGCAAGGAGTGGAATTAGTAGACAGTGGAGACTCAGTGAAAGCCACATCTATACCTTGGGCCCTGCAGACAGATGCTATCTGACCATCAGACAGCAAGTTCTGGGCCCCAGTGGACAACTTCAAGTTGTCCCACTCTGGCCTGCATTCACCTCTCACCCCTCAGCTTGGCATACTCCTGCCCACTATTCATTCTTCAAGGTTCCAGTTTCCGGGCATCTTCCGAACTCCAGGTCTAAAAGCCTCCACCCTAAAGCCAAGCCCTAGACTCAATGTAAAGCCGTCCCTTTCCCACAGACTTATAGAGGTCTCCATGTGCACTGCAGGGCCTGGCTCAAGATGGTGGTACATCTGATCTGTGGAGACAGTTGCCAACAAGTGTGGACAAAGCCATGGCTCCTAGCTCGCCTCTGCCTCTCCTCATACAACTAGGGAATCTCTGTGTTCCCAAATAGAACCAGGCCTGAAGATCATCTATGCTGCTGGCCCACTAAGCTAAAGCTCTGGAGCTGAGCTATGGATGATATACCTACACCACCCCAGATGGCCTGTCTCAGGGCTGCCCCAGGAGCCCTGGGTGGCGAAGGGTAGAGAACGGTGAAGGACAGTCCAGTCAGTCGGCCCACCACAGCCAGACCATGCAGAGAAAGAAACAAAGAGCTGGATGTTCAACAAGGGCCCTGCCCTCCACCCATGTGGCTCTACTGGTCATGGCCATGGGGTGGCTGGGCTCTGCTTTCCTTGGCAGTTGCCCTCTGGCCTCAAAGCAGGCTGTCTAAAGTCCTCTGGCCCAGGCCAGGCCTCCCTCTGAATGACTGGGCCAGCATCCTGTTCTCTCCTACTCCAGAACCTCCAACCTGAAGGAAGCTCCTGCTGGTGGTAATGCCCCCACTACTTGGGCCCCACTGTAGCAATGGCGGTGGGCCAGCTGCCCTGCCTGACAAGCTTGCTCCAGTCAGTAGGGAGGAAGAAGCAAACAATGGGGACATAATGAGCTTGTATTTTTAAGTCAGTGTGGCCTCATTAGAGACAATACCAAGTCGCCTGCCATCTGTGGGAGCCAGGCTGTTATGGGAGAAGCCACAGCTGCTCAGGGCCCTGGGGCATCTCAGGACCCCAGATGACAGGTGACAGAGTATAGGAAGGAACAAGGCATGCAAAAGAAATGGGGCCTTCAGAACAATCCTGGGAGTCACAGAGGCGACCTCCTCATTCTGCTAGACAAACAGACCAGAGAAGGGCAGGATTCACCCATGGCCACACAGCACATCAGCTTTGATCACAGCCCTGCTGCTGTCTCCTCCCCCAGGGTCCCTTCCAGGATTCTTGAGACAGACAGAATCATGCCCCAGATATCCATATCCTTATCCTTGTGAATGTCCCCACACATAGCAACAGAGCTTTACAGGTGGGATCAAGTTAAAGGTATTTAGATAGAAATGCCTGGATTACCCAGTGGCCACTGTCATCACAGAGGGAAGAGTCAGAGAAACAGCAGCATGACAGTGGACATGACACAAGATGTTACACAGCTGGCTCTGAAGATGGGGGACAGGCCACGAGCTGAGGACCGCAGGTGGACCGTGAAGAGTACGACAGCAAGTACAAGGCTCTCCCTGGAGCCACTGGAGAAATGCAACCCTGCTGGCCTATTCCAGCCTTTCAACTCCCAGAACTGGAAGAAAATAATTCTGTGGGGTTTTTTTTT